ACTTTTGTTGGAATAGTGGCACTTGATGCCGATTCAGTTACACTATTATCAACAGTACTGGGATTTAGAGAAATGGTCGATTGAGGTATTTGCTTCGTAGTATAGTAAGTGCTAATAAATTTTTCTTCGGTATATGGAATCGAAGATTTCAATGTAGACGATAAGTCGTCTACGAAAATGCGGGCTGTTGATGGTGTTTCTGTGGAAAATGAAGAAATACTTATTCTACCAGATTCTCCTGCTACTGTTATAGTTTTTCCTTCAGTCACATGATCTCCTTCATTTTCACTAAAAGTTTTTGGGGTGGTAGATTGAATCAAATAGTCTTCGTTGTGAAATTGTGGAGTTATGGTTGATTTAGCGTACACAGGGTCTTCACTATAAAATTGTTGGGTTGTCGAATATTTTGAGGTTACGTAACTTTCGTCATTAAAATCCGTATTCATAGTTTTTGTTGATTCCTGACTTTCTTCTTCCAATGGTTTTGTGGTTTCAGTTTTCAAAACTGCTTGTTCCTTAACCAACGGTGTAACTGTAGTAGTGATTTTATTTAACAAATTTTCGTCCAGTGTTGTTTCAGGTAAAATATTTTGTTTGACTTTTTGTTCAAATTCCTCAATCGGTGCCATAGTAGTACTTCGAAAACGATTTGCGCTTACATATCTGTAACACATATTTTTAATATTTTTATTTTAAAGGTAATTGCTTTCCTTGAAAGATTATTTCACTAAGTTAAACCTTGTTCTTATGTTCATACTGTCTTCTGTGTTTTCTTTTTGTATCTGATCAGTATGCCTGAAAAATACGTTATAAATTCGTTCAATCTTTTGCAACTAAATCGTAGCAATAATTTTCATGTTTCTTACCTGAAAGAAGTTCTGCGTACATGTTGCTTTTGCGGCTCTTCTTCATTAAATGTTGATTCTTTAACATTGTTGTCAATTCTAATATAGAATATATTTAAAAAAAAAATATTGAACTTTTTTCCCTAATTTTTTTTTAACTGTTCACACAACACGAATTAATTCGTGATCTTAAAAAAAAAGCGTGACTATTGTCGTAGTTTAGACAAACAAACTCGTTATAACTAAAGAACTTAAACTGAAGAATTTGAGCAAAAGTTACCAGGCCAGAGAGCAAAAAGAGTGTTCAGAAAATAAAATTTTAAAAGTGTTGCAGATCATATTGATGAAATGATTTAATACTAATCAGTGTAGACGATGATCTCTGAATACTTATTAAATACGTTTTCTAATGTCCAATGAGATTACTAAAAACTGATTCAATTTCAATTGTTGATGATGATTCTTCACCAGATTCTGTAGTAAACTTCTTATCCACGAATTCACTTTCGATTGGTAAAGTTGAAAATTCGATACTTTGTTCGGTGGAGAAGCTACGAGGTATTTCGTTCAGTAATGAGTTTTTTCGTTCTTCTTTTTGTTTGCGTAAAAATAAATGTGACAAGCCACTTGTGATTTTTGGTATAAAAGTGGTTGAAGTCAAAGAAGAGTATTTCTTTTTAATTGAAATTTTTTGTCTCTCTGTAGTTCCAGATTCTATTATTGAAGTGACAAGTCTTGTAACCAATGGTTTGGTAGTTGATATCGATATTGAGCTTGAATTATTCGATGGTTGAGTTGTGCGATAAATTTGATTCCCGCGTTTACGAGCGTCAGCCAAAAAATCAAACTTTTTAGTCTGTACCAAGGTTTCTTGTAAACTGTTCTCTGTTGCGCTAGCACTTTTTGTAAAGAAGGGAGTAATCTTGCTTTTTCGTGTGGAAGATTCTAGTTCTTTTGTAACATCGCCATCATCCCTGAATCTAGTTCTTGATCTACGATGATCTACTCTGCGACTGTTTGAAGTTATTTTAGAATTTTTTTTTTCATTAACTTCTGTAATTTCAGAACTATAATTACCAGGTTTGTAAGTTCTGTTGTTATTTTTCGCAACTTTCAAAATTTTTGTATTATTATTTTCTTCTATGAATTTAGAGTTCTCATTTTCTGTATTTTGTTTAAATTTTAGTTCACTATCGATTTCATCGTTTACGTGCGTGTTATTGATTTGCTTTGCAGATGGCGTTGAGTATACACGTCGACGTTCAGAAACACGTTTTCTTTTTATAATATTTTCTTCTGCAAGTTTTGAAGATGTATCATCTAATTGCGCTGGTGTTTTCTTTCGAACGTAAAATCTTTGAGCAGAAGTTTTCGAAGTTACGGAATCATCTAATGTATTAGTTTTGTTGTCTGTATTATCATAAATCAAAGTTTTGTTGGACAATCTTCTACGTGATGGCATCTCTTGGTCATGTTTCAAGTGGTTTTGTATAGATTCGTTCTCATTTAACTTAGAGGTTGTTTCTAGAATAGGTCGTAAGCGTCGAATAATTTTTCTACGCTTTGGATTTTTCTGATCATCTTCTTCTGTATCAAGAAATGGCACGATAGAGCTAGATAATATCGATGGTGTTGAAGGCTTTTTTCTTAATAAAACTTTTCGTGTTCTTTGAGTTGGTTTAGAAAAAAAATCTGTACTGCTTTGGTTCAATGTCCCTAAAGTAGTAAATGATTCAGTGCTTTTTTCGTCCACTGTAGTCTGGGTACTACTTAAACTACTTGAAGTAGGAGCTAAGAATTTTTCAGTTATACTCTCTGTTGTCGTATCAAATAAAGTACTTTCAGTATCACTTTTGAAGTAATCAATTGACACCAAATCAGTGTACCATCCAAAAGAAGGCGCAGTTGTTTGTGAAGATTCTAAAGAATGTAATGTTTCTTCTTCAACTGTACTTGTGATTATTTCGGTTGGAATTGGTTCTGTCACTTCTATTAAGAACCGAGTTGTCTCAGTTTGCGTTGAGTCTTCCACATTTTGACTGTCATTTTCAGAACTTTCATAGCTATCTTTTCTATCTTCCATTTTCAAAGGAATTTTTTTAGTTACGTACTCTAACTCATGTTTTTTAATAGTGGTTTTTTTAGAATCGTCGTTTAAACTTTCAGACCGTACATCGGAACTTTTGAAAGTAGCTTGAGTAATTAACGGTGTAAACGTACTTGATGAAACCCTAGATTCTTTTGATTCGTCTACAGTTTTTAATGTTTGAGCTCTACTATTAAAAGTATCTGCAGTTTGTTGGTCCAATTTTGTTCGTGATATTCTGTACGAGTTTCTTCTTCTCGACGAATTTTCAGTTGATACAATTGGGGAACTTTTTACATCATTGTAAGTAGTTGTTGAAGTAAATTTTTGTGGTTTACGCTGCCTTCTACTAGGAAATTCTGTTGAACCGCTCATAATTTCTTTTTCAACAGCAGCAGTACTTTTTGTATTTGATTCTCGAGGTCTTTGAGATTTGAACCGACTAGAGCCTCGATTAGAGTTAACCGTCCTGGAACTACTTCCCGCTGGAATATTTTTTTGACTATTCGGTAAGTCTAAAGTTATTTGGAAATTTTCATCTTTCATCTGTATGTTTTCATCATCAACAGTGACTGTTGTTTTTTCTCGATTTCGCGTCCGCGTTATTTTACGTGTTCTAGGTGCTTTTGTTGTAGACCGCGATAAATTTCTCGAGTTAGTACTCACCTTAAATTTCGGGGTTGATTCAAATGCTGTTACAGAATTATGTGTTGTTTCAAAAATGCTTGTTGTGCTTGCCGTTGTTGGTCTTGATCTACGAGGAAAACCGAATGGTCGTGGTTGTGATACAGCAGCTGAGGTTACCCTTGAGTTTACTTTTGTTGGAATAGTGGCACTTGATGCCGATTCAGTTACACTATTATCAACAGTACTGGGATTTAGAGAAATGGTCGATTGAGGTATTTGCTTCGTAGTATAGTAAGTGCTAATAAATTTTTCTTCGGTATATGGAATCGAAGATTTCAATGTAGACGATAAGTCGTCTACGAAAATGCGGGCTGTTGATGGTGTTTCTGTGGAAAATGAAGAAATACTTATTCTACCAGATTCTCCTGCTACTGTTATAGTTTTTCCTTCAGTCACATGATCTCCTTCATTTTCACTAAAAGTTTTTGGGGTGGTAGATTGAATCAAATAGTCTTCGTTGTGAAATTGTGGAGTTATGGTTGATTTAGCGTACACAGGGTCTTCACTATAAAATTGTTGGGTTGTCGAATATTTTGAGGTTACGTAACTTTCGTCATTAAAATCCGTATTCATAGTTTTTGTTGATTCCTGACTTTCTTCTTCCAATGGTTTTGTGGTTTCAGTTTTCAAAACTGCTTGTTCCTTAACCAACGGTGTAACTGTAGTAGTGATTTTATTTAACAAATTTTCGTCCAGTGTTGTTTCAGGTAAAATATTTTGTTTGACTTTTTGTTCAAATTCCTCAATCGGTGCCATAGTAGTACTTCGAAAACGATTTGCGCTTACATATCTGTAACACATATTTTTAATATTTTTATTTTAAAGGTAATTGCTTTCCTTGAAAGATTATTTCACTAAGTTAAACCTTGTTCTTATGTTCATACTGTCTTCTGTGTTTTCTTTTTGTATCTGATCAGTATGCCTGAAAAATACGTTATAAATTCGTTCAATCTTTTGCAACTAAATCGTAGCAATAATTTTCATGTTTCTTACCTGAAAGAAGTTCTGCGTACATGTTGCTTTTGCGGCTCTTCTTCATTAAATGTTGATTCTTTAACATTGTTGTCAATTCTAATATAGAATATATTTAAAAAAAAAATATTGAACTTTTTTCCCTAATTTTTTTTTAACTGTTCACACAACACGAATTAATTCGTGATCTTAAAAAAAAAGCGTGACTATTGTCGTAGTTTAGACAAACAAACTCTTAAATCCTAACCAAACAAAGATTATTTTTAATATTTTTTTGTTAAAGTAAAAACCACAGGTAAAGCATTGTTTAATTGATGTATGAACAATTGTATGCATTTCCAAACGCTTGTGACATGTAATTATATTTAAATCGCAAATTCAATCGTGTTTTGTGTACATTTGTTTCAATTTAATAAGTTTATATCAAGTACCTAGACAATTCTGTTGTGGTCACAGGCCTTGTTCGTCTTATATTTATGTATCCTGGCGTAGACCTCGTTGTCGATGAAAATTGCTCTGGAAAATTGCTTATTAGTTTCTCTTCCGACGATGCTTCGTCTTCATTATCTGCTTCTTCCATAACATCATCTTCGTCTTCATCCTCAATATCATCAGTTTTGGCCGGTGGTGTTGAAGAACTAGGAACAAAGTAATTTAAAAAAATGTATTGCTATCATAGCTGTACATAACCTTAAAATCGAAAGAATTTGAAAAATATCATCTTGAAAAAGGTATCGCGTACCTATGTCGTTCTATAGTTACGTATTTTGGAGAATTATGTCTCCGTAAACTTTTGACTTCAGGAACTTCATCTAAACCTTCAAATTGAAATCTTCCCGGACCATTTGCAAATTCGACTTTTGATTTTTTATTTGTTCCCCCATTTTCATCTTCCTTATCTTCGATTTCATAAGTCTTTTTAGTGCTTGCTAATCTTGTAGTGGGTATCTTGAAGAAGTTGTTTTTACCAGATTGTTGACTTAAAACTCTTTCGTACAAGCTTTTACTTATAGTAGCTGCAGTAACTTGTCCGCTTTCCTGATTTACACCAAAACTTACACTCTTTTCCTGTAGTGCCAATTGTTTTTCAAGCTGTTCAATTCCTCCTGTAGTAGTAATATTAATGATAATTATATTAATAATAATAATAATGATAATAATAATAATAATAGTAGTACTAGTAGTATTAGTAGTAGTACTAGTAGTACTAGTAGTATTAGTAGTAATATTAGTAGTAGTAGTAGTAGTAGTAGTAGTAGTAGTAGTAGTAGTAATAACAATCTTACAAAATTTTTTTACTGAAGCAAATATATTCTACAATAGTTATTTACCAGCTTTTTTTATAAGTTCAATTAATTCTTTAATAACTTTCGGATCTTGTTCTTCATCTGTCATGTCATCAGAAAACCGAGCAGAGCCGACCTTTGGAGAGAGTGTAGTTGTAGTTGTAATAGTTGGTCGGTTTCGGCTTATAGTTTTATAAAATAGTGATCTAGCTGTTGTTGTAATTACTTTCCTTTTGTTTTCTTCCTTAATTTTTGTATCGTCTACTTCCTTGATATTATCGTGGTCTTCGTATTCTTCATTTTCCTCTTCTTCTTCTTTTTCTTCCTCTTCTTCTTCAACATCAATTTTTTCTTTTTTTGTAGTAGTGGTGGTTTGGACAGTAGTAGTATCTGAAGCTGACTTAGGTTTAACTTTTGGACATACCACATTACGTGCATAATCACAAGAATCTGCTAATTTATTGAAAACTAGTCCTGCAAAGTTTATTTTTAAATCTTATATTATATTCAATGTGTCAAAAAATACAAAAATTTTTTTAGTATCAGTGTTGTTTGTGCTTTAGCAAAATGTCGTATATACCTGATGGGCAAGTAAATTGATTAGCTACTATTCCTAAACCACTTGGTCCACTGTCAAGACACCAAAAATATTTTTTGCAATCTCTAGGATGAGAAAAAAATCCTTCATCCTCGCATTTAAAGTCTATAATATTAATTTATACAATTTTTAAGGAGATTTTTACAGTATAAGTTGATTTTTATAATAAAATTTGATAATATCCATGAGTTGTAAATTTTTTACTTATAGTTAACAGTTCATTGACATACCGCTTCCTGGATCAGGTGTCGTTGGAGGCTCTGGTGTAGACAATCTATTTTTTTGTGGTTTCTGAGTAGTCGACGTTGTTTGTTTGCTACGACTGTCTTTATCATTTGTATTTGATCGTGTTCTAAAACGACTTTTATTTGTATTTGTTTGCGATCTTGATGTCTTACTGGTAAGTTTTGTAGCTTCCACGTAATCATTAGTTTCATCAACTGGTTCTTCGTCTGATTTTTTTTCATTTCTCGATCTAGAATTAGTCCTACTTCTCGAAGGTGATTTTTTATCGGAAGATGATCGTGAGGCTGTAGTTTTCCTACTGGAGTTACTGGAAGATCTCTGAGAATTACGTTGAGGACTAGATTTTGAAGAATCAGTACCTCTGCTTCTTTTTCGCGTATTTATAGCATTAGGCCTTTCATCTTCTTTTCCTTTCCTAGCAATTCAATACTAATATGGTTACTGAAATCCAAGTTGCGTAGTCGATATTTTGAAAATTCGTATACTCACCCACTTTCTTCGAAAAGAGCTTCTTTAGCAGCTTCTATCAATGGGTACGGACGGCCGTGACATTTACCACGGAAATCATCGTTGTCGATTGACCAAAACATTACACCACCCAGTTTATTATCGTTTGAATATCTTGCTTTAGCTCGCACAATATCTTCGTCATCATAACCTACCCACTGATTCCCTTTATATGCAAATGGTCCCATTGCTTTTGCATTTGGTTTTTCGACGGTCCAATCGCCTTTTTCCACACCTTCACAAATCTAATAAACAAATAAACAATAAAATGAATAAAAAACCTTAAAGTTATTTATCTCCAGTATAAATTCAAGTCGTCTGTAATTGTAAGTACAAACTTCATAGTAAGCTAAATATCCTTTTTCTCTCGTAGCTTCTCCTTCTTCACCAGGACCATCCGCAGGCGAACCGAGAGACGTTGCGTCTTCGTTAAAAAGAGTGTATGATCTTCCATAAGTTGGAATACCAATAACAATTTTATCACGTGCAGCACCACTTTTTATCAAATGTTTAACAGTGTAATCCTTAAAAGAACGATAGTATTAGAATGATCGTAATAAAAAGGTTTTATAATGATACAATTTGTTTATAATCTTACTATTGTCAACTCATTGTCATAATTATATTCATTATCTTCTTCAAGTGGATAAAGAGGTGAATGATGGTTGACAGCTGGCTCATATGCAGAATGGTAATCGTAAGAGAGAAGATTAATAAAATCCAAATATTCGTTTAGTTTCGGAATGTCGTAGCCTTTGTCAATGTATTCGATTCCTGCTGGTACAGCCATTGTGAGTAACAGCCGAGGTTTTCCAGTTTTTGAAGATTCCTTTTCAAATTCTTCCCAAAGTTCCTATTTAATATGCATTAATATATGTTGTTGTCCCAGTAGGTTGAAATTCAAAATACATATTAGATGAAAATAACTAATATAAAAAATGCATTACAACAATGCATTACCTGTACAAATGTCGCATAATTATCTCGATCTCGAGGCTTGCCACCTTCTCTAAATGCTGGATACTCCCAATCAAGATCCAAGCCATCAAAATGATTTTGACGAAGAAATTTAACAGCATTTTTAACGAACTTTCTTCTTTTTTGAGGATCAGCTACCATCGGGGAAAACCGATTAGAACCTTCATTCCAACCTCCAATTGCCATTAAAACTTTTAATTCCTTGTTATATGTTTTTAGGCCAGTAAATTTTGCGTATCCTCCTACAATAAAAATTCAGCTTAGACTAAGTGAAATGATTTATATCTATGATAAAACGGCAATTAATTGTAAAATAAAGTTTTGCCTTTGTCAACATCTTGATATTTATCGAATGGCTTCAGGGTATTATCTTTCGTAAATCCACCAAATGCATAAATTAAATGTGTGCAAAGATATGGATTAATATTTTGCGGCGAATACTTTGCAGTTCCTGGTCTGTACACAGACCAATTTGTATAGTAGCACACAATCTTTTTTTCTCCATTATCTATAAAATTTCAAATATTAGACAATTTATAAGATTGTACCGTTATTATTAATACATGGATCATTTTAATCGATTCTGACTGAAAATCAGATCAAAGAGTACCTTAACTAAAAATTTACTAAAATATTTTTAACCTTAATAATTTGATGCTTGCTTTTGTTTTAATTGTATTAACTTATGAACGCGACAATCGCTACATATTATATTTTTAAGCACAAGTTGTCTCATAACTAAAGCTTTCTTATCATTTGTTTTATTAGTGAAAAAAATCCCATGACTTGCTTGCCGTTTATTTTGAAAAAACAAGTTTATCAAGTTTTAACAAGATACTTAAATTATCAATACTAATAGTTAACTTTTTTACTTGAAACAATGGAGATGTCATACATTATCTAGTTGAAAAAAAAATTTATTGTTCAGTTATATGCTTATTTACATACTTATAAAGCTTGCGTTAACAATTATCTTTGAAAAAAAAAATAATAACCGGTGGCATTATCTAGATTGCGTGGATAGTAACAAAACATGCTCAATTATAAAGTTTACACAATAAAGCGCGCAAAGAGCGTACAACATGACGAGTAAATTTATACGTTGAAAATTAAAATTTAAGTAAAAAAATATTGATAATACCAATGAAACGTAAATTATTATTTCATACAAAAATACTCACCACTTTTTGCGGCAACTGCGAGTAGAACCAACAACAGTATCCTGATTCCAACTATCATCTTCTACGAAAAAATAAATACACATATATTTAAAACAGTTTACTTTTTTAAATAATAGCTTACAGTTTTAGCAAATTCGAAACAATTATCGTGTACTCTTATAAAAATGAGAGTCTCATACCAATAGTATTTCGTAACAATAAAGGCTTGTTTCTAAAATAATGTAAATGCCAAAATTTATGGAAAAATTTGACTATTTTATAATTTTAATGTTGCACTAGTATAAAGTGTCCATTTCAATAAAATTTTAATTATTGATAAAAATAAAACAAATAACATGGTAAAATATATTTGTTTTTAATCTCTAATCGATTGCAAAATTCGCTAAGGAAACGATACACCTGGATATTAAGTGAGTATACACAACTTCCTGCACTGCTGCAGGCAGGAAACCTTTCACGTGCGCAGATTACTAGCCTGACGAGAATTACTTCGAAAAATCCTGTCCCAAGTTAACGAGCTACACATCGCTTGGATTTTTAGCCTTACAAACTTTATTTAACCTTTTGATACTGTGTCTGAAGCTGTTATTAATTCATCAACAAAAATCATAATTTAAGCATTGAAATAATTTAGTCAAAAATGAATGTAATTAATTACGCTTCGAAGAATAAGGCGTTGACATGATGATTAAAATCAGACATAAAGTAACGGTCAAAATTTAATTGAATAGACAAAACTGAATTCACTAACAGTGCTGATAAAACTACTAATCTAAATGTATAATCCTTTCCTTAACAAACTCAGTGAAAAATCCACTAATTACATGAGTGAACACAGTTTTAACAAAAAAATAAATTAAATCAATGTGATGATATAAATTTCAATGTCAGCACTTGGAAGTTTGATGATGAGCATGCCGCAAGCTACTTTATCATTCAATATAAAATGGTGTTACATTGTAGAGCAATTTAATCATGTATACGTGTAATAAAACTTTCTCGTTGCACAACAGTATGGAAAAGCTAGCAAAAATACATTAATAGATTGTATTTTATTCTGTTGTGTAATTTTTTTAACATTCATGATCTTACAGATATAATTTTTTGATATTTTCTAATTTTTACATCTGTAGAATCCAAGAATCTTTAAAATTTTCATTGATAGTAAAAGTAAGAGCATTTTTAATGACAAAAAAGTATACTATGCGTTCGAAGTCTACAAACTTTTATTGAAATGAAAATTATACATTTTGATATCACCGGATATCACTCGCTTTCTTAACTTTTTTAATACAATAATTATTCATTTTTTTAGTACATTTTATTATCACTATGAGTTTTGTTATTACTAATACTGTTATAATGAGCGACTTCAATTGATTTTACTAATAAAAATAATAGTATTAATATCTATGAAAAAGTTTCATTTATTTTATTCTCTAAAAATGTTGAACTTCTATGCAGTATATTGTCAATATTCATCACAAAAAAAAAAAGGATTGTTGTTACTAATGGGCTGGTGTCCGTGGATGATGATATTTTTTCCTTTTTTTTTTGAGAGCTTGGCTACACAAAATTAAAATGAAAAAAACTGACAGCATTTTTGTAGAAAAGTAATACACAGGCTACGATACGAGCACGCCAGCACACACATGCACAGAGAGAGAGAGAGAGAGAGAGAGAGAGAGAGAGAGAGAGAGAAAAGTCCATCATTCGTCGTGACGCAATGAAATAAAAGGCGAGTGCTACGCTCCTACCGTTCATCCGCCGTGTCACTTCTACTCTGGAGTTCGAGCTGGTGCTATACTTCTATAGTCGCTAAAACCAGAGAAAGCAAATAAAAATAAAGAAAAAGTGGACGGATCGGACGCTCGCGTTACACGATAGTTTCTCGAAAGTACTTTCTCGTATGTGCAAAAGCTCGTGTCGCATAACGAAGCGTTACCGCAGGCGTTACAGCCTCGTCACTTTTATTTTTTCATCCGCATTTGCACAGAGTTCCTTTAGTCGGTATGGATTAATTATCCGACCTCCAAAACAATTTGTGGGAACCACAGTAGCAGAGACAATCGAGAGATTCGGCACATATACGTGTAGGAGTCCTCTCTAACTCGTTGCAAAGTAACAAAAAACACTCCGTTGTGAAGAGATTCAAGAAAGATTGCACCACTAATTGTCTTCGGGAAAACGAGCTAGGATTCGCATTGGAAGTAAAAAGAAAGGGACTGCAGAGTGCCGCAATCCTTATTCGTTTCTTCTTGAGCTCTCGATTTCGTAGTCATTCGTGTACTTGTCCTATATGTGTATAAATATATATATATATACACGCGCCCGCGCGCGTACACCAAAAAAGGATACGTAACATAAGTGCTCTAACGTTATACATACGCATCACTTTGTTCATTATTGCGCCATTCGATTGAGACGTTAGTAGACCAACAATGTACATTTTATTGATGCTCTTTTTTACGATTCACGTGTCTCATTAGCTTGAGTTAACGCACCTACAGCTGTTGGTACTCTAGCCTCTCCCGGTTACCCACGATTGTTGTCACAAGCCTTGAATACGTATACCCATCCACGTACTTACGTATGATGAAAATTGCGCGAATCTGTTGGCCATAATTGGTAGATATATTGATACTCTATCTCTTTACGTCCTCATTATTCCAAATCTTAGCGCATGGCGGTCTGTTGAAATAGTAAGAATAAATTAAAATAATCTTCATGGATGCTAATCGCACGCGAATTATCGTAAGAATAGATCTTCATTCAGCGGTAATCGACACATTTTGATTTTGCAATCGGATGTGAATATATATATATACACACGTGAAGCAGCTTAGTTATTCATTTCTTCACTTGGATCGAATCGTATTTTTGGTTACTTAGACACCATTATTTTGATCCAATGGTCTCAACAAAAATGTTTCAAATCAAAGCAGACAAAGCCATGAGATACAATAAGAAGGAGAAATTTCAATTTCTCAATTGTCTCTATTTAAGCGTTGGTCATTGTGCATTATCTGGACGAACCGTGTTGTACCATTTTATCATAATGATGTGAAAAATTATTAAAAATAGTCATAAGTCATAAATCGATACTTTAAGTTTTCATCATGAGTCATCCACTTTAAATCTATGCCAATGATGCCAATGATCGTAGAGTTCAGGAATGCAAACTCGTTTGCCCATTAGCTCGTAGGAATGTGAGGACGAGGAAAACGATTTTTTTTACCTCTACCCGGTCATAAGCCCCGCGAGTGCGTAGGCGTGTATTTTTTAAAGACCAGCTCGCGCTCGAAAGATGCGCAGCAGCTGTTTCAAGTCTTGGCTTTCAGTTCACCACAGGAAAAATTTAATTTTTTTTCAATCATATTATTTTGATTTAGCTAGAGCCCGGTAGTTATTAGCATCACGAGTATGTTATTTTCTCGAAATCCAATACATTCTATTTCATATCCTGTAACCCCTTGAATTTTCTGGCGTTTTTGTTTTTTATTTTTTGATTCGTTGAATTTTTTTTTTTTTTTTCTTCCTTATTGTACTTTGGTTAAGTCATACATTTTATATTCCAATGCACGACTCCGTTATCCGAGGTATTTGCTAACAAACTCTCCCCAGCATTAATTTTATCATAATCAAATAAGTACTTTATTAAGTTCGTACATCATTATTTTGTATTCTCCTCGACGATTTATGTACATAGTGATTTGCAACTCGGGAAGTCTCATACATGCACGTAAAATGTATGTTTGCATGTATGTATATAACACAAGACATATAGGTGCACCGAAGGAGGGGAGCGCTCTCTTTGCGTTTAGCACTTTCTCACCCTGTGGACTAACAATGCCGGCAAACGTAATGCAACGTAATGTAACGTCGAAATCGAGAGCAGATAAACTCGGCGTCGAGTGGCACGTTTCTCACTGCAACCAAAGGTGTGGTCCCATGCACGAAACTGCATTAACTTTGCTGACACAGTCAATGGTACCCATAATATTATATACTCGTTCGCCCAACCGCGTCGACGATTCAAGTCGATAAATCACACATTTTCGCGAGGTTAACTGCTAACGATGAGATTCCGGACCTATAGTCAAGTTTTCAAGTTAGTGAGTACTTTTGCTCTTTTGCAGTGGAAAGAAGGTAAAAGTTTTATCCCGTTGAAGAACAAACTTGCACGTGATGCGTGTGCAAGTAGCCATGTCCTTATTACGACATTTCCCCGTAGTTTTGCTGCGTACCTACACAATTTTCATGCGGGATAGCACCCATCCTTTATTTATTGTTGCAACGGCGCCAGTAGCACAGTATAGGTATCATCAACATTAGGTATATCCATATACAAATATTTCAATTTGGATTATACGGAAGTGCAAACATGTGTATGTATACGATAACGGCACTAATAATAAAATCTGCTGGTCTTTGTTATATCATGGTGCCCGACGTACCCCGTGTGTCTTACCTTACATAGTGCTGCAGATATTGTAACGCACGACGCATCTTGTGAGAGTCAAAAAAACTACTTGCATCCACCATGGGAGCTACTTACTGCATGCGGGTAGTAGCCATTATCAGGAAGCACATTGAAGAATATATTGCCAATGTGGTGGACGTACATAAATAATACCCTTTTTACTTTAGAGTAAAAGAATGTGCCTGGCGTTGCTCGACATGAATACTGTACATATTTATGAACATACACCGGGATAATGCAGTTATACATGAACGCCGCAGCTAAAAGACACCACGAAGGTTCATACTCGACCGAGCCTCGGAGCCTTTCTCAGTTTAGTTGTGTTCAACGTGTGTGGCAAATGATTGCCTTGATGCTTTTCATGAATATGTATGACTTGTTGTTAGAAATTTTTGTATTGGGAAAAAAAAAACTCTTCTATCAAAACAGAGCCCACTAATATAGCATTTTCTATTTTCCAGCAATGAATAAGTACTTAGAGGCCCGTAAATCTATAAAATACGTTTAGTTGTAACTGTTGCCGCAGACTCTCGATAACCCATAAGCTCGCCCATAAGTATAGTAGGTATACCTACTTACCAAGCAACAAAGTCGAGTGTAGCGGAATGAGAGTACAACAGCTCGAACTCCCATGCACGTAAGCAGGGCCCAATATTACCGATGCAAATATCGAGGTGGCGTCACGTGAAAAGAACCCGTTTCCAAAATAAGTATCGAGTGAGCTTTTGGTCACTCGCTCGAGTTGCGTATTAATTTTAATAGGTATAGGTATACTTGTATAAACACTCGACCACCGACCGTCTCATGCTTATTGTACAAGGTAGGAGGTACCTGTTGAAGGCTTGCGGGGGCTCTCTCAAGAAAAGTCCGTCCCTGTTGGCGTGCCTTTTCCTTTCGCGCTCGCGCATACCTACCGACCTACCAATATTATACCTACCTGCCTTGAGTTACATGCACACAAACACAAACACACACACACACACATACACAAAGTTGTTACATGTAAGTGTACTATATTTTACACGGAGCTACACACTACTACGAGAGATAAAAGCGAAAATACTCAGAGAAATCGAAGGCGCGTGGAAGTAACAAAAGAAAAGAGCATCGAACCGATCGATAAAAGAATACTTACCTAGTAGGTATATATACATAATTGGCAAGTCGTTATCCACTAATAATTATGTACATATAGGTATTTCATAAAAGATATTACAGCTGTCGTTGTTGTTATAATATGCCCTATGTTATAGTTCTTAAGTATACATATTCGGATGTATTGTTGTAGGATCCCCAATACTCGATCCAGCTCGATGGCTAAACTCGAATTAAAAGACGTAGTGTGGGGAAAGGTAGCGAAGTACTTACTCGTTATTCAAATTTAACGCAAACAGGAAAATATAATAATAAGTAGGGTACCTACTGTTAGGTAGGTACAGGTATACGCTTAATAATAATAATAATAATAATAATAATAGTAGTGTTATTGCACGCGTGTTTCGCAACACATATGCGCGCGTAAGGACGTAAAAATACGAAGTATCTGGACCAAAATCGACAAGCTACAATCATTCGCTCATTAATCGTCTAGCCACGAGAGCCAAATAGACTTGGTTGCATCCGCAGTGGGGTTATTGGCTTCGCGATAGAGACAATTATTGCGTGGAAAAGACCACGCGCAAAGAATTTGATACTAGACGGTCGAGCAGGAACGATCGAAAGTGAAATCTGAGCGACAAATAAAGATGAGGCTCGTTTTCACTTGTGTCCCCTGCAAATGATTTTTTTATGGAGCCCGCGAGTGAAAGAGTAGATAACGCGAGCATGCGGTACACCTGCCGTTAAGGTCATCCCGAAGCTGATGCTGCTCTCTCGCCGACGACACGCGAGATTCGTGCCAGCTTTCTCCCTCTTGCAACGTGTATTGATAGTGCAATAAGATAATTTACATGTATACCAACATACACGCGCGAGCGCGCGCGCACAGCTTGAGCATCGAGTACAGGAAAAGCATGTTTTTTCTTTTTCTTTTACTCGCTCCTTGCAATGTTTTTCTTTTGTTGTTGTTACGGCCACCACACCAGTTGTCTTTATCTCTATGTATAATTGTTCACCTATCATCCAGTGAGTGTGATTGTTGGTTGGGCACTTGAGACTCGCGCAGGTGTAGATGACCACCTTCAGAGAACGCCATCGATTTCCGCTGCTGCGACTGGCACGGTTTAAATGGCCAGTAACGATCAATCGGCCAATTGCACCGCGGATAATGAGCACCAGCTCGGCTAATTTGCTCACCCCAAATTAGTTTGGACTTTTTTAACGAACGGTTGAGCGGCCGAGCCTCACCCGCCCACTACCTTCTCCTGTTCATCTACCGTAGTGCCATTACGAGCGCGCAAAGACAAAATAATCATTGTAATTAGGATAGCTTTCACCCGTGAGGAAAAATTTTTCTGTGATAAAATATAACCGTTGGCCACGTGTATACGGTAAATTTGACTTTCTTCGTCTGGATTTTACCTATTAGAAAACAACGATGCGCGTACAATGCTTTTCAATGGATCGCAGTCACAAGGTTATAAGGAAATTTACGGCCATACTTTTTTTCCATCAGTATAGGTACCATTGCCTGTAATGTGAGCGGTAAAGTTTTAATGTTCTACTTTCCATAGATGGAATTTTCACGCTGAGCTCGAAACTCATTTCAAGGTTGAATACGCGACGGATCGCGATGGTTTTTTCATTTAAAACCAATACTTATCTTAACCGTGGTATAATTGGATTCCTGGTAAATTTGTAATTTCGAAAAATATCGTTTGTCTTTTTGTGATTCGAAAGTGATGCTCAATCTGATTTTTCGAAAGTCGTTGCGCAACGAATCTGAATATAGACAAGATGTCCATACATTATAACTTAAGACGCGCGTTGCCGTCGCCACTGCTATAATGTTATGATCTTGAAAGATATACACAAATGGAGAATGTGAGAGTTCGTATATGCTAAAATAATACTTTCAACCGCGACTATCTCCCTCCTTCGAACTGTACAAGCATAATTTCTCAAAAGCGCCTTCACCTTTAAAACTCGAAGAATAATTTTTATCAATGTAAGAAAACATTACATATTTAAACCTGCTATTCATTACTTTTACTTAAGAATAATTAATGCTGAATCTATATCTAATAGTCCATAAACGCGTTCATCGATGATTACGTCTAAAAATTTACCTTTGCCCCTCCACTTCCCTACCCTCAGATAAATAATCCACCTTTCGATTTCGTCATTTATGTGTTTTAAATATCTTTGGGCATGAATATTTTTGTCAATCATATTTTGAGAGTGTTACGAATGATTTATCGTCCTCATTTTTACAAGAAACATTTGCAGTTTAGAGATCAGATGGCTTTTCATTGAAAGTTAATAATGAATTTTTTTTTTTTTTTCATTACCTTTTTTGTTACGACAAATGGAAAATTAACAAAGTTCAAGTACAGTTAAAAATGACTTTTATTAGTAATTAACAATTTTTTTTGTGTAAATAACAAGCGTATACGTAACATTTAGAAGGTATGCAGTTTGTGATTTTGTGCAAGTAACCAATATGTTCTTGGCTTGTTTCAATTAATTTAGAAAGATTACACAAATTATTGCCAACCCACTTTTTATTTAAACTAGTTGGTTCATATAAGTACTTTCTCGGAGTTCTTACTTGGGAAAAAAAAAAAAAAAAAAAAAAAAAAGCTTTCTTTAGTAGGTATCCCAAATAAGAAAATACCAAACTTAACACACAAGGATAACTTGAATGGATGTTTGAAACGCTGCATTTTTATGAATTTATTCATGAGTTGTATTCACGGGAAAGAAAATTTCTCTTAAAATAGTGACGCGTAGTAAGTAATGGTATTTTCGTCGCGAAATAAAACCAATTTCTTTGTTGTTACAAACTCAGAGATATTAGGAAAAAAGAACCTTACAAGTACATATCGGTATAATTATCTTACCCAATCCATATCGATGAGTTAAAGGCGCGCCACACGCCGATCGCCAGCTGTCCGGTTATTTCTCCGAGTTGGGTTATTCGATCCTACGGTAGCGCAAACTGCATCTTCCGTCTCTCGTGAACGAAGCAAAGTCAAGCTACGCACCTTTCCAAGTTACTCGATTAAAAAATCGAAGACAAAAGGCAAAAAACGGCACTACGCAATTTCTGGATAAACGTGTTGAGCAAAAATCGAGAGAAAGAGTTATGTGCGTGTTTTTTAATGAGGTATGGGTACTTATGACGTGCTGCGGCGAGAAACGGGCGCCGATGTGCACGGGTTTGCACGTCCACGCGGACTAAGGCGAAAGGAGGCGGTAGGCGGTAGTTCGGTTCGGCTGTGCATCGAGCCGGCAGAGAGAGATTTTACCAAACTCACCTTCGACTTCTCCCTCCCTGTAGTTGATGTGTATACGCCTGTCCCCTCCGCCACACCACGAATATCTCTCTCTCTCTCTCTCTGCGTGCATACTGTTACTTTCATGGGTACGGACGTGCATGCTGATATGGGGATACGAGGATGCATGCGATATAGGTGCGTGTGCAAGTTCCTCATAATATTACATGCACCTATACCTAACTATCTGCCTTAAAGTGTTTACCTACCTTAGACGAAGCCAATATATATATACCTCCGTTTCCATCTCGGGGTCCTCGGGCGCCGTATGTGCCCATATGTACCTATATTGTCGGCCCGCGGGGACGGTGAAAGGTAGACATTTCCAATGCCCCGGCTTCTCGCGCGCCAGACCATGATCGCACTCGATATAATATTCCATGCATGTCTTACACGGAGGTATACCTTAGTTGGTATATAAATATTTGGTATCCCAACAGCGGAGGTGAGCCTCGTACGTGCGTGGACTTTGAGCGTCTTCGGCATCCGCGTTGCTGCCCACGGCTGGGTTTATATAATTGCGTTGGACAAGTCCCGCGGGCAGGAGATTCGCGTCACGTTTGCCATTTCCTTGCCATCGCCTGTGAGACGCGCCTGCAGGTGCATATTGTATTATCCATGGCAGGGCAATGACAGCTACCTTCGATCCGCCTCCTCGTCCATTCGGGGCGTCGCTGATGCCTGATGTATATGCACGACGGTATACTCGAGGTCGCGCCCCCGCTTTTACTCGTGCACTTACTCGTATGTTATATATACGGGGAACACTCGTATTACATTACGCGGAGATCGGATCTTTGGGATTTGATGTACCTATCATCCGCTTTCCTCTCGGGTGAATGAAGCAAAAATCCGACGGAAGCCGGGATTTCAAAACTCGATTTCGTGCCGTACTTATCTATCTATGACCGTACCCATCCCAAGACCCATCAGTTAATTTTACACTAAAATATATTTTTCTCTCTCGCATGTATTATTTATTATCTTCCTCCGTCCCGACCCCAAAATGATCAGTGCGCGATGAAAAGTTATGTGGTTGACTTTGACTTTACAAAACGACAGTAACAGCGCGAATTTATTATTACTTTTGAACATGGTCATTTTTTATTTATATATTTATTTATTTATTTATTTTTATTTTTTTTTCCTTCAACTAAACTTTTATTTAATTTTTACCGATGATATTGTCGAAACGTTGCCGCATGTCACACGCCCATCCGCATTTGTAAGCAATCAACATAATAACGGCAAGTGACCATAACAACAACTAGGTGTATACTTACGGTGATTATCGAGTACGATAAATGTTGCAGTAAAAATAACAACGATGAGTCTTGTATGGATTTATATATTACCCATATTATGGTAATCCAAATACAAATCAACTCATACGATTTACCACGCATACGTGATACAATACTCTTTCATCTTTTGAGAAAAATGCCTATTCGGATCGAATACAATGGTAACGGTTAATCATTGTGCGCTGATACGCTTTGTCCCATTTTTTGTCCCGATGCTAATACTCACGAAAATTATCAAGATTAGTACTACTCGATCAACATTTTATTTATAAATATTTTTGCTTTATCCGAACAATTTAATATCGCCGATGATTCTCCGTAACCCTTTATAATGTCGCAGGTAAGCTCGTCCTTTAACGTGAATTCCTGTGACGAGACAAAAAGGAGCAGTAAATTGGAGTTAAGCGAGAAGCAAGGACGAATCGATGCCGAAAAGCTGTCATTCTGCTTTTTGAAGTTTGCATTTAGTCGTGCGTGTGCGTGTACTTATCTCCCACGAATTTCAGCGCACGGCCCTGAGCTTTCGTGCGGTTTAATTATATTTTTAGCTCAGACCTGTTTTGCGAGAGTATCACCACCCGAGAAACGCGGGTACCTATCGAAATGTTCTCAAAGATTTTAATCCAAATGATGCGAAAATAAGGAGAAAGTTGGCAGTCCGTCTCTCACCTATTGGTAAAATATTACATTTACAATATACGTATGTTAGAGAATCAATGAATCTCGGTATCAACTTTACGCAATAGAAAATAAACGAATAAAGGCTATGTGTTGCGGTACAGAAAATACGTGCTATGTTGTAGTAGTCGCAAACAAATTTTTACACCAATGAATGTTAATCGCATACGGAAAAGCATATGTTTTATTTACAATATTCTTGTACGATAGTATGTTAATACATTTATTAATTGGGATACTCGATCCCGAATGGATAAAAAAAGTCCGCATAAAAATTCATGTACGCAGCATTGAAGTTAACTGTTGACGTAACTGGCCGTTTTGAAAGTTGGACTACTTATTATTATGGAGATAACTAATTCTTGTCGTTCAATGATTGGTATGTGTGTGTGTGTGTGTGTGTGTGTGCGTGCGTGCGTGTGTGATCTGATACTTGTACAGATTTTCTCAAAAAGTATTGGAAACGGTGTCCGTTTGTAGGTACGACATAATAATGTGTGCATGATGTTTCTATCAAGTTCATTATCGGGATGGTATCGTCATATATACGCTATAGCGTACCTTAGGACTTTCATTCAATCGAAATATTATTATATTTGCGCTAGTGAACAACACTTTAGTAATTTTTTTGATGTAATCGTACATCAAAATCATCTCTTCTAACAAATAATCAAAACCTTGTTAAAAATATCACTTTTGATAAACGAAATCAATCATTTGATCGATCCTTCTCACGCTTACTTTTTTGTTTATAAATTTGGTTCGTTACCTGATTTGATTTGACAAATAACCTCTAAGAAATTAATTTTTTTGAAAGCACACAAACAGTAAAATAAATTTTAAAAAGTCAATTATTAAGAAAAAAAAAAAAAAAAAAGTTGAATTAAGCGAGGAAAAAACCATGCTCGCTTCATCTTAATTGGCAGCGATACTTTCTTCACGCAGCAAACGCGTGAGAAAACATGCACGAATATTACAGCGTCGCTGTGCTAGCTATAGAGCAAGTACAGACTGATGTAGGTACCGCGCAACCATCACTCGTTGCACAGTATAAGTACTTACTAATCAACCATATATATGTATACATATACCTACAACATGAGTAAAAAGAGATTTGCAATTTTAATAAATAATCAGCAGCCAACTCGGTGCAGTATCTCAGATACCTGTAGATCGAGCTGTCCGCTATACTGGCTCAAGTGCAAGTGCAAATTATCATCGTTAAGTATTGTATAGGGATGACGACGCTTGCTACTTGCAAATAGGACGATTGTATGAAAAGAAAAGCAACAACAGCTTTTCATCCCGATGAGCTTTGAGTCGATCTGCTTCTTATTCGCAAAGAAAACTCTTTATAAAATTAAATATATTTATATTCACACTTGCATTAATATTAGTAAGGATGCGTGTGTATCGTATACTGCAGGAATTTAGATATTGCGAGCCACTGCATCAGCGGCCGAGAAAGTTGAAGAAACGAGGCATCGAATGATCACGAGCTAGCCATGTGTATGTGTGTGTATTCACGGCTGCCGGATGGGCATCAGTGTATAATCCGCACCTTGCCCGCGCAAGCGTATAACAAATAAAATTTGTTAAGTAGCGCAACTATATAGGAGCCTCGCAGGAGGCTCATCTGTATAACCATAAGAGGGGTCCGCCCGAGATTTCAATAACACGCGCTCTCTTTCTCTCCTTTGATTACATTGTTCACTCTTGTCTATACGATAGAAAGCATCACCATCATCATGATCATCATCATAATCGCCATCGTGCGATTCCATTTTATAAGTCATGAGATTGTGATGGCTTATGGTTTATATATGTATATGTAATTATTATCCCACTGAGTACAAACTCTCTACCGATGTTATTAAATGTTGTATTTTATACCCATGTATATACGTATCCATAATATATTGTTCAATTGTAACCATTATTTACGCAGATACAGGCGTTTTAAGTTTTAAACTATTTTTAGGCGAAAAATATACATCTTTAAAAGAAGCCTTTGCCTTGTAGGTGTACACAATATACGTGTTACCTATATGAATCGATATTAGAGTATCTAAAAAAGTTGACAAGTACTAACCATCGATATTTTCTGACAAACAAATTTTTCAAGTTTGCTGATTTTAAGATATAGTCCTTTTTGCCATATCTCTAGTATTTACGGAGATACGGGCGTTTAATGATTTAAACTATTTTGAAGTGAAAAATGTATATTTAAAAAAATTCTTTGCTTGGCAGGTGTACATAATGGGCGATATTAGGGTGTTGTTTTTTTTTGAAACAATATTAGTTTCATCAGTCATAATATACTTTTCACACGTTTGCCAAACAAACCAAACTCATGTCCTCATTTATGCAAGCACATGATATCTAAGTATACATAATACAGTATAGTTACAGTCACGAGATGTAACTTTGTAAAATTTTTTCACTGTTTGTTATAAGTAGAAGTAAAAGTATGCCTCGGCGAAAAGAGAGGAAAAGAGAAATATAAATAAAAATTGGTCATTAGCATGGAAAAACGTAAAAAAAACTTTATTAAATTTCTTCATTCCGGCTGGATTGAATGCATTCCATCGGATACAAGAAAATACAAACATTACCACTAGCGAGATCAACGCATGCTCGCTGCAGCTTTCTTATTTCAAAAGTGTCGTACGTACTTATATTACAGCTTTAGAAAAAAAAAAAATAATAATAAATAAATAAATAACAAAGAAAAAAAACATACAATAGATACTTTATGCTAGCATGTGTTGGCGCTGATTTATAAAAATTTGCCACTGCCACGTTAAATGCACGCACGCGTCGATGGTTATTCTTATAGCCGTTGATCGCGACTTTTAACGTGTACAAAAATCCAGCATAATATTCGAGATAACATTACGTGCAGGCGAGCACCGATCCACCTATGCAAGTGGTAGACATAGCTGCGAATCTCGTTAGTGGCGCATATATATTTACATAGTGTGCGGAACAAAATACAGCCCCAATTTTCACGAGTAAAAAACAATGCTACATCTAAAACTGCTTTATTTGCTGGTTCGCCACCGCACAGGCACACCTGTTACAGAGTCATCAGAGTCTTAATCAACTGGGGTACTAAGGTACGGTAAAGGGGGGGAGGCTAAACCAGCGCAACGCACGCGTTAGTGCAATTAAATATAGCTTACTCGGATTTTCTCAACACAAAAAGGTCCAACAGAATCTCGAAAAAATACTTCAGTGAGGAAGCAAAGAGGTTTTCTTAAAATCGAAATAACTTACGCGTGGGGCGAGAAAGAGGAAAAAAAAACATTAATCATCAGCCAGAGATCTTCCCTGGTATTTTCTCGCCTACAGATGCAAAAGAAAACTCGAGCGTTGTAGGTTTGACTTGCTGAATGTTTGATGGATGAAAGCAAGCAAGTATGCATGCACTACGAAGGTTCCGAGCTCATTTCAATTTTACGCAACGTTTGAAGTTGCTTCAACACACTGCTCCGCATGTACACAAGTACACAGAGAGCATATATACATATACACAATATACATATGCAGGCGAGTACATAATTCTCTTTCCCTCGACTCGACTGGGATAAATAAGAAGAAATGTAAACCCTATGGTGTGAAAGAAGTATGTACCTTAACATGCAGTTATTTATACATGCGCGTGTGTGATGATGATATTGTAATATATGGTCTTCTCATGGAGCGCTACTTTTTTTTTACAATAAGGAAAAAAAAAAAAAAAAATTGAATAAATATATAACGCCTTTACCAAGTAAGTAGTATCAAGTTGTTTTTTCACGGATGTGCACATCATTATTATAAAGCATCTACGAGAAAAAAAAAAAAAAAAAAAAAAAAAAACGAATAGTCCAACAAAAACGACGTAAAACATAAAAAAGTATTGCCCGAAGCTCGTGAAACTGTAGCGTAAAAACAAGAGCTTCTGCCCAATGGGGAAACAATATCAATGAATTATTAGGAGCACAAAATACCTCTTCAACGATAATTATACTTTTTTCTCGTGAGCACGGGACGGCAGGGGAAGCGATTGTTTGCCGACCATGAGAGATCCCCGCTGGAAACGTTGAGTCTCGAGCGAGGCGCCTCTTGGGGAAGTGGGACTCGGACGCTGATGGCGTAGACGAGCGATGGGCTGGCGAGCTTTGATCCTGTATCGGCCCCGGTAGCGCTTCAGAGTCGGGCTCGGCTTGGCCCCGCTCGGTGAGCTACTGCTGCCGCTGCTGCCGCTGCTCTTTCTTCCATCCCTGCTGATCATACCTGCAAAGTCTAACAATGACAGCTCATGAAATCTCATCCCTGTACACACGATATATATATATATATATATATATATAAGTCCTTTCAAAACACGTACACATGCATAAAGTCCATTGTTCACTGTGTAAGGATTTAAATTTTAGCTCGGAATAAAAATAGATTTGAAAAAAAAAATCGTCCCTTTTCCCGTAATTTTGGAAAAAAAGAATACCAGTAAAAATAAACATTATCGAATGACGTAGATGAACGACGGTGTGCTGAGTACAGTTTACATATAAGTACACAACATACACTTTTGGTAAATTTGCATCTTTGGTATAGGTATATGCTACGGGATATATATACGAGTAAAAGTTACATATAGGAGGTATGTAAATGTAGGTAATATATTATGTATTTTATAGTGCGTATATAATGGGGTATCGGAATGAGTAGAGTTTTGTTTTGACTTTATTAGCGCTCACGTGAATCCGTAAAAGCAAGTGATGTGATGAATATGCAGTCACCGGACAAATTGTTGCAGTTGGCACGCGCGGCTTACCTGGTGAGGAGTCGCTTTCGCTCTCTCTCATCGTGCTGCAAAAGACGGGCTGGTGGCCGACCGCGACGTTGTGGGCCTGATTCAGTTGGGCCGAGGTGTGCGGTGGACAGCCACGAGCGATTATTGGGCTAGAGCTCGAGGTGCTCGAGATCTCGAGGATAGTTTGCTCGCGCTCAATACTCATCACGGGCATCAGGCTTGCCAGGGAAGTTGGCATGCTTGGTATCATGTGGTTGATTGCCTGCACTGTTGGGTTAAAAAATAAGTATATACTTTTTACCTTTGTTAACACATGTAGCGCGAAAAAACGTACCTATACGTCGGAAATTATCTACCCATTTTTATACTCGCTTGTTAATACGCATGTGTACCCATGCACTAATAGGTATATTGCATTCATTTGTTTCGATAAACAACTTGTAACACAAGTTTTTGGTGTTGCCACATGTGAGAAGATGATGAGACGTTAATTATACTTGTATACAGTGAAACGTGATTCGAGTCTCGTAATGCCGCTCGATATGAGAAATTGAGCGAAAATGATGGAGACTTAAATTCCAATACAGGCTGTTTTCCCCAATGTGGTAAATGTATAAGTGTATAAAAAACGTGCAGTGGATGATAATAATTAACTTTCGAATGAAACACTACAACAACGGTTTTCATTTTAATTTAATTTGAAAATTAATAGCATAGGTAATCTGCAATTTAAATGTTTCAACGTACGTACGTACTTGCCTAATATACCTCATATACCTACTTGTATCGAGAATACCAAGATATAAATAAATAAAAAAAAAAAAAAAAAGACGCTAGAAAGAATCTCGAGGACAATGGGAATAGTTATGTTTAGTGTGTTTGCTTGTACACATATTAATGAGGCAACTAAGTGTACGTATACTGTTTATAATCTATTCCATTTTTAATCATCAAACTCCGTTTTAAATTGAACAGGCTACACATACGCAGTTTGCGTAAATTACATTTGACAAAAACATATTGTTGAAACAACACAAACTTATGTATTTCAGCTCGATGCGCTACCTATTATCATATTTTTATTTTTAACATTGAATTTGTGTAGTTCGGTAAATCAAAGAATAGTATCAACTGTGTATCAATATCTCATATACAAGCTAAAGTAGGTCTATGGGTATTAAGATGGAGGTCTGCTCACCAGGTAACTTGTTGATGGCAGATTTGACAGCTCTCGCTACCACGGACCAAATTCCATCCGACTTGACCGGTGATTTGTCGTGCGTGTCTCCGTAACAATCGATTACCCGATCTTTGATTTTCGGACTGCCAGCTTCCGGTGCCTGCGCGGCTTTGCTGCAGTCTTTCGCGGGGTGGCATGCCTTGGCCCTCTTTTTGTCGGGACTCGGCACCTCAGGACTGTACTTGATCGCCCGACTGGCGCTGCTACTACTGGTGACGCATTCACTGTAACCGTCCCCTACGGCAATCAACGAACAATTTTCTAAATAATTAAACAATGGATCATGTTATGATTAATTATTTGATTGATCTCGTAGTATTTTTTATATATGTATGTGGAATGCCACATTAAAAACACACAAGCGTGTGATGACGAAAACGATGGATGATTGGTTCTTTGCCCGCAGAAAATAAGTAAGTAAAGAAAGAAAAAGAAAAAGAAAAGAAAAAACAATTATCATTATTATTTGCCCTTTTTGGCTTGGACATCTAGATAGACATACCCTTGTCCGAATTCATTTCTAGCTGTTTGAGACCCGAGTCGATCAGTGACTGCAGATTTTCACTCGAGAGGGCCTTTGGGTCCGTCTGCTCCATCACGAGCATCATGATCACCCGCGAGGAAGGCGCGCTCGTCGTGACCGCGGACCTCGGGTTTCCATTTTCCCGAGTCTCGTCGTTCCTCCCGTTACAGCGACAAGAGGCGGTGGTAGAGGACGGAGAGCACCAGCTCGTGCGGGCGTCAACCTTCCTCACCTCGTCTAGGCTCTCGCGGGCCTCGAAGAAGACGTCTTCGGCACTAGCCTCACGACAATCCGCAAACTGCACGTGCTTCTCCATTGTGTTGTTGTTGTTTTTGCCCGACTTGATAAGGATCTCGCCCGTCACAGGGTCGATCCGATGTTTCTTTAAAATCGAGCACGACGGTGACGGCTGGCTGAACGAATCGCTCTCACTGCGAACGACAACAATAACAAACGGTTGTTGTTTTTTTTTCTCTCTCCCAACGAGTGAAAGCATCGATTCATTGACACCAAAATACTTATATTGTTAATTTTAGTTAAAAGTTAAGTGCAAGAGTTGGAACCGACCTCTTGCGGAGGCTGCTGGTCGAGTGACGATACTCGTCGCGAACCGACGAGCGCGAACCGACCTCGGACTCAAAGGACAAGGGCGTCTTGTTTAGGACAAAGTCCGGAGCGCTTCTTTGGTGCTGCTGGGAACCGTCCGGGCCGTGTTGCACTGGGGTGCTCGTGCTCGGGAGCCGCACCTTTTCGACTAGCGGCGAGTCCAAGCAGTTTTCCTGTCCTATCGGCTTGTCCTCGTCCTCGACGATTATCTCCAGCCGTGACGACGTGGAAGCCTGACCGTTGTTAGTGAGCTTGCGCTTGGCGGGGCCGGCCACCACGAGCAGTTGCTCCTTGGATCTGTTGAATAGCAACAGTACCTACACTTAATCAACAACAATAAAAACGAGAGCAAACCCGCGTACCTGCAAGGCCGAGCAGATATCAAGTCGAGGTTGTTCGTGAATACTTGGCCGCAGAGTTGGCACCCGAGCGGCAGGTGGTTCAAGAGGAGGTGGCCGATGAGCTCGACCCTACTTCCGTCGCAGACCGGATCGAAGGGCAAACTGTCACTTACGCACAGCGGGCACTCGCCCTTCAAGTTTGGGTGTTTATTTCTCTCGTGGGTATCTCGACAATTGACACAACAAAACACCTTAGGACAGACGCGACACCCGTTTGGCTGGCAAGTGTCATGTGCATAGAAAAAATTGCATTTACATGACAATTTAACAATGCGATTATATATTATACATGTACGGGCTTCGTTTACCGGATGATACATTACTTTCAAGGATTTAATACGCGGTCTTTAGTATAAAGTTTACTTCTGTTGGATTTACTACTTTTACAACAATGCACGAAATTCCCGTAATATGATCGCCTCGATGCTTGTTGCGTTGATTGAAATATTTATTATTGCACTGGCCATTTTTCGCGGAGAAATTCAAAACAATTGTTTCAAGAATAAACGAAAAATAATATCCAGAGCACTGCAATATTCTTAGAGTAAGTTTTAATTTCAACTCCAATACCTTCGGAATCACCATCTTTTGGAATGTCCTGTAGAATCAACTATCTGAGACTAAATTTTTGTCGGCCCTTATAATATATACTGTTATTCTCGTTGATGTTCTCCTTTAATCTAGAGTCAAAGTCTACCTCGCTGCTGTAGGAAAGAAAGTAGCTGACTTGGACATGTAAACAATAACATTGTACGTAAGTATCAATTCGACGACGAATCAAGCTTACTCACGTCGATTTAGTTGTTATATATACGTATATATAATACGTATATATATATGCCAACTCGAAAATGAGGACCGTACATCATAAAAATGTTAATAGTTACTGATCGGGTATCGGAAAGATCATGGAATCGTGATTGATTGATGAAAATCAAAGTCATTGATGAACATATTTCATTTTTTTTTTTTTAACTATTTGTCATGTTACGTCACAATATTATTATCTTATGTACAATACGTGTAGACAGTGACCCGCACAGTTAGACGCTTTAACAAAGAACTTCATTCGCTTCTGAACATGAGTCTAAACATCCCTCGCTTTCATATTTCCACCCCTTCCCCACATACACACATCCACACACAATATATTGACATACATATAAATGTATATTCATGTGCGATGTTTAGTATTGCAATTATTTCAATGTTTCCAAAAATATAGACATTTCTTTGTTATCTTCAATGTTCTTCTAAAAGCAAATTATTTTAATAAATTTCAAAAACTATCGTAAACACTTTTTACTTTTCTCGTTTTGCTAATACGCCTTTATATTAATAATCGTAAAATGGAAGGTGGCTTGAAAGTCTGCTTCAAACTCAAAATTTGAAGCTCGTTCGATGCGCATTGTATTTCATGATATCTATCTATATACGTTTACTCAAACTCTTTAAAAAGACGCGTGAAATTTATTCATGAAATAATGGCATGGACGGCAATTTACATTAATATATTATACAGTTTGTTACTTTTGCGCATCAAACCATAAATTCAGCTTATTTGCTTGATTAAACCATCATTATGTGTGCTATTTGCAGCATTTTTCTTACTCAGTGATTTCCACCCAAAAATTGAGCTCAAACTTTGCTACACGTCTCATATTTTCATACTTTAAAAGAAAATCACAGGCTTTTTAATGCGAATTCATAATGATTGCATGATATTTGAAAAAAAAATTTATCACTATTTTTAAAATTTTCTTTTTTT